GGCGCAGCGCGGCGCGGAGGGCGATTTTGCAACGTCCGGTTGGAGGGACGTTCCTTTCCAGGAATATCTCCCACTCACACTTGCGAATGACGTGGGGCGAGGTCGCTCATCCCAGCGCTGGTTTTATAACAGAGAAAAAGAGGCTGAACGCCCCTCGTGTCCACCCGTGGGCGACAGCCCCACAGGGAGCCCCGGGGAGGGGTGCAGGCACAGGCCCCCTGACCCTGGCCCAGGCCTCAGCTCCTCAGCTGAGCACCATTTCCCCGCCCAGGCTGTTCAGAAACACCCTCCCTGCCTTCGGATCTTAGGCACCTTTCCATAGTCGTCTCCTCCTCCAGGAGGCCCTCCCAGACACCCCTTCACCAGGAATCCCTCCACCCATGAGCATCCCTGCACGAGGGCACCTGGGCTCACACCCGTGTGCGTGGACACACGCGACACCGTGTACCACTGCCTCTATGTGCACGAGGACCGCGGTCTGTTGTCCAGCAGCCCACGGCGAGGGCTGTCGGTCACATGCCCTGCCTCACGGGAAGGCGCAGCAAATCTAAGCCTTTTTGGTAAAGGGACCGCATGAGCCGGGAGCCCACGGGTGCCTGAGAATGAATGAACACAGGGAAAGCCGAAGAGAACCAATCAGAAAAGGGGGAACCAGAGACAGCAGCCTGGGTGCCCACGCAGGCAGCCCCATGCCCCCACGCCGCCATACCCCCACGCCCCCACACCGCCACGCCCCCACGTCCAGGACCTGAACCCACACAGGCCTCTCTGCCTGAGAGCCTGCAGTCCCTGTGGGCGCTGGGCAGACGAGGTGAGCCTGCGCCGTGGGAGACCCTGGACAGTGACCCACACCCTCCACTGCAGGACGCAGGGGGAGGGGACAGCCCCCGGGACACCTGCGGGAGTCGGGGACAAGCCGGCGGCATTCTCAGGAGAGCCCGGGCACCGTCGGCCTCAAGTAACCGGGTGGCACAGCCCATTTCCAGAGCAGGTGCTCGGGAAGAGGGGTGACAGCTAGCGGAGCCCTCGCGCAGGCCCTGCGACAGGCGCG